GACATGTTTTACATTTCTACGATGAATCAAAAGGCAATGGAATTATAAAATATATAGAATCAAAACTAAGTCTTAACAAACACGAAACAAACAATTATAAATAATAATTCTTTTTTTCATGTTTTAACTCAGCTAATGATGAGTCCAATTATAAATTTGTTGAACAATCATATTAAAATCTATATAGGAAATCAGCAAGTCAAATATTAATTTAATTAAAATATAGTTTAATAGACAGTAATATTGCATCCAAGAGAACTTACAAACTTGTCACAATCACTGACTATATCACGAGAATCATTCGAACTGAAAGGATAAACTGTCATCCAAATTCTGACACGATACATTCTAGAATAGATTTCTATTATTATGTTTTCCGATCTTTATCAGTTTACTAATTGATTTATTGAAGTGTCTCTCTTTAATTTATATGATATTGCCAAATTGTGAAAACGATTTATTAGATTGTTGTAAAGATTGATAGAATATAAATTGTTTCAGAGAATTCATAGTGAAGATACTTACGGAATATCAAGACCACGAGCAGCTACACTTGTCGCTACAAGAACAGGTGTTCGACCGCTTTTAAATGATCTCAGTGCTTCTTCACGTTGAGCTTGTGATCGATCACCGTGAATACTGTTCACTGAATACTGATGATTAAATAGAAAATCTTCAAGCACATCAGCTCCTCGTTTTGTCTCAACAAATACCAATGTTAATGTTTCTAAACATACGATCAAATGATTAAATCAATAGAATAGAAATTTATCTTTATTACCAGATTGAATATTTAATAAATCAAGTAAAAATGAACGTTTTTCAGCTTCTTCTACCCATACAATTTTTTGTGTTATATTTTGTGATGTTGAACCTACACGACCAATAGCCAAAAATACGTAGTCATGAAGAAAATCTCGTGCTAATTCCTAATTTACAAATCATATTTATATTTAACAAAAAATATATAGATAAAAAACAAAGACATTAGCAAACCTGAATTTGTTTTGGAAAAGTAGCTGAAAACATCAGCGTTATTCGTTGACCCATAGCCGGCATATCTGACCGTTCAACGATCTCACGAATTTGAGGCTAAAGAAAATCAATTCATTATTCAATAATATACATATATTTCTTAATCTTCTTACTTCAAAGCCCATGTCCAGCTACAAAAAAAATAAAATAAATAAACATGATTGATTACGAAGAACAAAAAAAAAAAAGGGAAAAAAGTTTCCACCTACCATGCGATCAGCTTCGTCGAGTACCAAATATCTTCAAATATGGAGAAAAAAAACAACAAGCTTAAGAATAGAAGACAAAGCAATAAAATAAATCATACCGAACATTGGCCAATCCTACACGACCACGTTGTATTAAATCATTAAGACGACCTGGTGTAGCTACTAACATATGAGCACCTTTTTCCAAATCACGTGCTTGAAAGCCAATATCAGCTCCACCATAGACGACACACGAACGAACCATAGATCGATAGGAAAACTAAACAAAACAATCAAACATGTCTATTTCATTTTATATCAAAAAAAACAAAATTTACCTTTCGTGCTTCATCATAAATTTGTGAGGCTAATTCACGTGTCGGTGCCAAAATAAGACAAAGTGGATACTGTTTACGATTATTTTGTAAATTACTTGGAGGATTACGCACAGGTCCTTCTTGGAAAATCATATGCAATATAGGAAGAAGAAATGCAGCCGTTTTGCCTGAGCCTAAACCAAAATTTTTTTTACTATTAATATATATATATACAGGGTGTCCGGAAAATCCTCTACCAAAATGTTTTTTCATATATCTTAGCTGTTTCATTGAATATTATTAATAATTCTTTTTTTAAATTGTAGGCGAATATACCAAGTTTTTATTTATACGATCAACTTTTGATACTATTCTGCAAAACTATTATGTTTGCTCGAAATACAAAAATTTTCCTATTTTTATGAGATGCAAGTAATTCAAAATTTGATGATAATTTTTTTCTTTGACATTTTCATGTGGTTAGATAGAGCTTATGAAGTTCTACAAGAATATGTGTATATTGAAAACTTTTTATACCTTCTCTTTATAGCGAAATTTACAGAGAGCTACTAAAGAAAGACTAAATAATTAAAAACAAAGACATTGCATAATGTTCTACTCGCATCTCACAAAAATAGGAAAATTTTTGTATTTCAAGCAAAGGTAATAATTTTGCAGAATAGCATCGAAAGTCGCTCATATGAATAAAAAATTGGTATATTCGGCTTACAATTTAAAAAAAAATTATTGATAATATTCAATGAAACAGCTAAGATATATGAAAAACATATTGGTAGATGATTTTCCGGACACTTTGTCTATATATACATATAGGATTTTTAATTATAAGTTATCCTTGATTCTATTCATTTAATTTTAAAAAAACAGTATGTATAGTAACTATATACAAAAAAACAAAATTCTTTCAAATACAATGATTTTGTATATCTTACCAGTTTGAGCACAGGCCATTAGATCACGTCGAAGTAAAATAGTTGGTATAGCATAACGTTGTACAGGTGTTGGTGTACCATAATTAGCTAAACTAACATTATTTTTAATAATTTCACCAAAATTACAATCATCAAACTATTTAACAAAACAAAAAAAAAAAATAGTCAGAAAATTGAAAATAGTTAACAAAAGAAATCAAACTGTATCAATCGGCGAATGATCCATATGCGAAGATTCAACAGGAATATCATTGTAAAGTTCAAAATTAATACCAGTAGGATGTACACCAAATAATTCTCTATAGATAATATTCAAATGTATGAAAATTTATTGAATTTTAGTTATAAATCATTACCTTTCAAGATTAGCATTTGGTGGTAAAGGTGTATTCCAATCAGCACCGGTTGTATCACCTGATTGACCACCAACATGTGAATGAAATGGTTTATGAGGAACACGATCACGTCGACCATAATTATTATCACGTTGTCCTCCATAATTACTACTATTATTATTATCTCGACTATTTCGATTTTTATAATTACCCGAAAAACCACTAGTACTACGTTGATAAGAATTGTTACCACTATTATTAGTATAATATGACATTTGTCTTTCAGCTAATATAGCATCCCATCGACCACCTGTTTGTTGTTGTTGGGATGATGGTTGATTAACAACACCGGTTGGATCTTGACGATTATATGTTTGTTGAAGTTGTGGTATATCATTGAATCTAATTTAATTATATATACATATATCGATATAATCAATAGAATAGAAGTCTTACGATCGATTTTGCATTTGTATTTGATGTTGAAGAGGTTGACCATAACCTCTTGTATCAATTGATTGTGAAGGAGTCATTGAACGTGGTATTTGTCCCATTTGTTGATAAGCATTTGACATAGGTTGATGATACATTTGTGTTTGTTGAGGTGTCATTTGTGGTGGTGGTTGGCCATAGTATGATTGTTGTGGAGGAGGAGGATGAGGATGATGAAGAGTATTGCCACCACCATAATTATTGCCATAATTTTGTTGTGGAGGTGGTGGACCAACATTAACTGATCCTCGATAACCACCTGACATATTGCCATTGTTGCCATAATTACCACTAGGAAAACAATAACAAGATTGTTAATAAAAATAAATTTTAATAAATATTGTACTTTGGTATATTCATTCGATTTTGCATATGGGGAGGTCGATAGACTTGTGTAGAAGAAGATTGTTGTTGTTGTTTGGGAGGAGGAGCTCCTCCACGACCATAACCACCAACATAAGTATTATCATTATTACCTTGTTCACTATTATTATTCTGGAATCTTGAGTTTTCATATGAACCACTGAGTGATTGTTGTTGTGACGATTTTGTATCTTGACTAAATTAAAACAAAAATTCAATTGAATAAGAAGGATTGTTTTTTTTTTTAAACTTAGAAATGAACGCTTACTCATTTATCATCGTATATTATTGCTTGTTTTTTTTTCTGTGATTCTGTTTATAGTGAGGGGGTGTTATTGATGTTAAAAAAAAAAATTTTTTGTTTTTCTAAAACTTCAAAAAAGAATGATGAAATAATCATCCAAAGAAATGCACTGGAATCTGAACTAAGATTAATATAAATTTCAAAGAAATTAATTAAAATATACAATCGTATTATAGATATCTGATGATTGTCATTTAAACTTATACAATACTGTCCTAACTAATATTTTCTCTCTTTTCAAACCTCATTTGTTTGTTTATTCTCTGTTTTTCTTCTTGCTTTTTCTCTCTCTCTCCCTCTCTCTCTCTCATCATCTCATCATCTTTGTCATCTGCCAATGTAACAGAGAATTTTTAAAAAATAAAAACTATCGAACTACTTGAATTTTATAAAAATATTAACCAATTATTACACGTTGATATGATTCCTTAAAAAAAAATAAAATAATAAGAATCAAAAAAAAAAAAAAAAATAGAAAAACAATATAAGATAGAGGACGCTACAAATCGAACATAACAATAGTTTTATTATACATTCTATTTGTCATTATTACCAATTCATTATTTTATTTGATTAGATGAATATCTGATCAAAGATAAAACGCTATAAAAATCAATTAAGATACTCACGTGATTATCAGATTAATCATGAAATTGAATATTAATTTCTCTTTGTGGTTGATTTAGTTATGACGTTAATTAATTTTATTTATGATTTTTTTTGTTTTTCATTCACCGGTAGCATTCGACAAAAAAAAACATAAGAAGCTTCTGACTATCCAAATACAAAGAAAGCAACGACAAACATAAAAGAAAAAAAATATATATATTGCAAAAGATAGATAAAGATCTATGCATACAACAGAAAGAAAAATATTTTAGAGAAAAATTTTACTGTATTCAAAAAAAAAAAGTTCAGATCTATATAAAATAAGAAATATCTAGATTTAAAATAAATGTTTAAAAAAAAAAAAAGAAGCAACTAATTTCAAGTTTGTAGAATAAATATTTCATTCATTTTTGATTAGAATCATTGTTTGGAAGTAAAAGTTGTTGTTCACAATCACTTGTAATTGTTTCATTCTGATCCGGATGATGTGCTTCATCGAAGAATGAGGGTCTTATCATTGAATTTGAAGGAGAAGAAACATTATTTGTATCTCCAACATTGTTTGTTGTTGTTGCTCCTTTTTGAGATTGTGATGAAGAATTTAGTGGAAATATATCTTTAACATGAGTAATAGTTCGAGTTGTTGATTCAATAACACCAAATGTACTTTCATTTGATGTTATACCAGATCGAGTAAGAGGAATGAGAAATTTGACATTTTTTGGTGCTGAAACAATTGATACACCTTCATTAGGAGCAGTATTTGTTTCATCAATAGAACTTCTCTTTGGATTTTGTGACATTAAACGGTTCAGTGCAGCACTAAGTACACTATTTTCAGTATAAAGTTGATATTCATTAAAAGATTCATTGCTTGAAAGATTTTGATTTTGATTACGATTAGTATTAATTATTGATGAAGATTGTGTTTGAAAGTTAAAACGATGGCGTCTAAAAAACAAAAAAAAATTAAACGATAATCTTTAAAAATTTCTATATGAATAGTAAATATTACCGTTCTTCTTCACGTTTAGTTTCAATCCAATTATTAAATAGTACCCAATCACCAAATGTCATTGAAAGAATCTTTTGAAAAGAAATATGATTAATATATTAATAAATTTATTTGACATTTATACCTGTTTAAGTTCACTAAGTTCACATGTTGCTAATACTCGACCACTTATATTATATTCATTAATATCGTGAATATAGATTGGTATCATAGCTGTTTTCAAACCAACAATATCATTCTTTAGACAATCACATATATCATTCACTGACATTTGACTTAATGATGGTGATAAATCTACCTATTATTTTGAATGAAAACAAAAAAAATATATGTATATAATGTATTTTATTGAAGAAAACACAATATTTACTTTGACATTTCCAGAAGGACCAGTTGATGAAGAAATTTTTTGATTAATCAATGGTGGCATAACAACTGCTGATGTGGATGAAACAGATGATGTTCGATTATGGCTATCTTCATCGTCAGCTCGTTTTTTCATTGGTATGCGATTATATAAATGATGAGGGGGAAAATCAAATGAAAGACGATATTGATTTCCTAGAGAAAAAGTAAACGAAATAGATAAATTAATTTTTAAAAATTATCTCTCACTACCAATATAATCTGGCCCACCAACACTGAATCTTGAATGAAATGCATTTTTATGTCGTGATGTAGGTTCTTGCTGCAAGAAGCCACCACGTTCAAGAAGCCTAGAACAATAAAAAGACAAATATTCTAACATTTATACTATGAGAAAGTTGACTATTAAGAAAAGAAATACAGGCACAAAACAAAGCCTGTACATGCAATGCATATAATAGTCTCAAAGTTCTAGAATTTTACCATTTAATACAGTGACAATAATAAAAATCTCTGAATACAAAAAATCATATGATTTATCTACTGTTGAAGATTTCTTTTTCTTTTTCTCTTTTACATACTTGGAATCACGATGAACACAGAAATTCGATGCATCTCCATTAATAAAACCATTCTCATCAGAATTATTCATATAAAAGTAAGCTGCTGATTCTATTGAGACAACAAAAAAAAAAATTCTTTATAAAATTTTTATTATTTAAATAAAAAGAAAATAATTTACCTCGAATAAGTTTATTCAAATATGGATCTAGATTACATGTACATAGAAGAAATTGTTTTAAATCATTGACATTTAAAACAGGTTCACCACGTTCTATACAAAGTTCAAATTTACGTCCATTACGATCAAGTTGTAAAAGAGGATCTTTTGATGTTGGAATAAATGGTTTAATTCTAAAAAAAATATTGATTAAAATAAAATCATCTATCATAGTTATTTATACATACTTATCATATAGAGTTTTTAATGAAGTATCATCTGAATATTCTTGTTCATGATCTTCATAATAGACAACAATCCATGATATACGATATGGCCATTGTTCTACTAAATATGACCAACATCCGAGACGTTTCCAACTAAATACAACTTGATTAGCACGAAGTAAACGACCGATCATAGCAATTATGTTAATAAGACGTTGTAGAATTCGTGGATTAATATCAAGAAAATAATCAGATTGTAGTAATTGATTAGTTAATTCTGATGTTGTTACCTAATATTAAAGAACCAAAAAAAAAATAAGATGAAAATAAAAATATATATATTAATCAAACTGGTTTCGTATTAGGTAGTGTATCTCGCCGTTGTCGTCGTCGTTTATTCTTTGGAAGTTTATTAGTTGTTACTGGCTTTGCGCTCACATCAAGAACTGATGCACCATTAGTAAGAGTCTAAAAACAAATTCATTTAGCTATTATATTCAAAAAAAAAAACAAAACAAAAAATATTAATTAACATTTGCTCTTTTTTTTGGAAAAACATCAGAATTTTTTTTTAATTGTTTTGTTTTACTCATATTTAATTGTAAATAGATAGGAAGTTGAATAATCGAACGTAAATAATCATGACCATTAACACTAGTATCAAAACCTTGATTGTGACTGATTGTTGTCGATAAATCTTGCATCATTTTATGTGGATCACAAACAATCAATGTAATAAATGGATCATTTTCTTTTGTTAAAAGTACATGTACTTGCTAAAAAGACAAAACAATAAGACAATCTTATTAGATTATTTGATTTACATCAAGTATTTGAAGAATACGTTGTTGTTCGCATACATCTAAACCATCGATAAGAACAACAAGACGAGTATTAATATTAAGAAAAGCTTCAACAGATTTGATGATATACGATAATTGGCTAACCTGAAACAAAAACGTTTGGTTCTAAGAAAAAAACAACATTCATAAGAAATGATTTACTTCTTTTTTAAGTCGATAAAGTGAACTTTCATTAAGACGTGATGAATGATCAGAAAGTTTTATTATTTTTGATTTAGGTGATTTCATTAATCCCATTAATAATCGTAGACATGTACCACAACTAAGTAATACTGAACCACCTAATACACCAGTTAGTGAAATATAGGTTATATTAATCGAACGATAATTCGATGGAATTCCTATGATAATTTTAAAAAAAAAAATATTTTTTTGTTTTATATTATTCATCACAAAAATATTACCATATAATAATAGAAGAATACTAAGCGTTAGTAGAAGAGAAATCTGAATAGAAACAAAAATAAATGCTGGCATGCAACATATATATCGAAATCGATGACGATTTAAATCTAATTAGTAGATAAAAATATAAATATTATAATAAACAATCGATTTTTAGACAAACCTTTGGAATGAAGTGCACGACATAGACGTGTTGCTACAAGACCAAATGTTTCTTCAACATTAGTTGCTAGTTCAGCAATCATACCAGCACTTGCTTTTTCACTTTCAACTGTTGAAACTTTTCCATATTCAGTAAAAATAAATCTAGAATATAAAATAAAATATAATATTTCAATGAAATTTTATCTAAATTTCAAATTACTTCATCTTTTTATAATCAATTGTATCATTTTTTTTTGAACGACGATGAACATATGGATTCATAAAAAGAACTTGAAGTAAAAATCTTAACATTTCTAAACGTTTCTTTATAAATTGTGCTATATTAGCAGTCCATATATAATCTTTATGACGAAGAAGATATCGAATAAAAACAAGAAATGCTATACAAATAATAATCAAACAAACACCAAATGATATGCCAACAATATAATGTATTAAGAAACCAATAAAAAAACCAATAATTAATGCCACAATTACAATCACTGTTAGAAGTAATGGTGAGAATTCCATTGTTGGAAAGTCTGAAAAATAACATTGAAATAAAAACAATTATTTTAAAACACATAGCGTATTTCATAAGTGTTGAAACATGAAAAAAATTGCTTTATATGCAGATAGATCGTAACTCTTAATTTAATATTTTTATATGAGCTTTGAGTATTCGTGTTAAACTTTCAATTGACACATCAATGAAACATATATATGTTCTCTTGTCATAATAAAAATGAAAAACATTCTTATAATAATCTAATTATATAAAAATCTAATTTAATTATTACATGTTTATTCTCCATCACTTTTTATTAAATCATAAAATTTCTTAGAAATTTTATCAATTATGACAACTGCTTTTTTTTCCAATTCGCTATTCAATCTAATTTTTATTTGTTTAAAACTTAAAAATTCTTGTTTTCATACTTTTTCTTCTAAATATTTCTCATACACTTTCAATAGGTCATATCATTGTTTTTTATACTTGACGTTTTCATACATTCTATTCAATTCGATTTAATTACTGAGTGCATAGTTTAGCTGAATATGTAATCAGTGAATCGTGATAAACGCCGAATAATCGAATAAGATAAATAATTATTGGCTTCTACTACACTAGTTGTTTTTTTTTCTATATAGAATTGCTCAGCATTTTATTCACAAATCATGTTGATTGATTGTAAAAAATATATTCTTGTCTTTTTTATTATTACAAAAGATATATTATATAATAATATGTCATTTGAACGATTGATACGAGTACTCAATACTTATATATAAAAAAAACATTCGATAGGAATGATTGTCTGTTTACATATGTAAATTAATTTTATCGTGCTTCAAGACAAATTAAATAATCTATTTACCTGTTAATTGAGCAAAACTATGCATCTCGTCTAGAAAAGAAAAAACATAACTACGAACAAATCATAATGTAATACAACAAAATTTACCTTTTAAATGCGTTAACAATGCTGATTTTCCACTGCCCCATTTTGCATAAAGACCCTATATGATAGATAAGGCAAGATCGAAACACGTATAAACCAAAAAACAAAAATTTTTGATTACCACAGTAATCGGAGTTCGAAGTGATGGTTCACTTAATATTTCTGCTAATGCTGATGAATACAGATCATAACCAAGAATAGAATCATCATTCAAATTTAATGTTCCTATTTATAAAAAAATAAAAACAAATCGACAATGGTAAATTTATTATAATAGATATAGAAATACATACGTTGTCCAAAAATAGTTGTTAAAATACTTTTTTGTAAATTAGCATCAATTTTGTATGGTGTTTCACCACGTTTATTAGGTCGATATAAATATTTTGAATGACGTGGATTTGAAAGTAGAATATCAGCAATATCACGACTACGATTACGTAAGGCAATATGCAAACTATTATCACCATACTAAAAAAAGAAATGTTTGGAAAAGCAATTTTTAGAGAATAAATGAAATTTTACTCGATCAGTAGATGATAATCTAGCACCATATTTAATAAGTTCATAAACAATAGCTACACGTTTTCGTTTAGTAGCTAATAAAAGTGGTGTATCATCATCTTCACCACCAGCAACTTCAACATCCGGATTAAATTGAAGTAAATATTTAACCACATCAAGTCGACCTCGTTCAACTGCCCACCAAATAGCTGTTTTATTATCCTTTGATTTTTTTTTTAAAATAGATAAAAATAATGAATAGTCAAAAAACAAAATTTGTCGTTCTTATTCAACTTACAGCACCAATAGCATTTATATCAGCATGATTTTCAAGTAGAATAGCAACACAATCTTCTTTTCCACCTTTGACAGCAAAGAAAAGAACCGGATCACCATTCTAAATAAATAAATAATTCAAATATTATATAAAAAAAAAAAAAAGAAAATTAGTTATAAATTATACTCTATCAACTGTATTAACATAAGCATGATGTCGAACAAGTTCAGCAACAACATCAGTAAGACCTTGAGCACATGCATGACTCAATGGTGTTTGTCCATCCTATTGAAGTTAATTTATTGAAATTTATTAGAAGTAAACGAATTATCATCTCACTTTATCTTGTACTTTAATATCAATGGTTTGATTTTGAAGTAGACGAAGAGCTGTTTCTCCATGACCTCCTCTTGTAGCAGCTAATAAAGCTGTCATATTTTTCATGCCAATATTATTAACACTAGCATTATATGTTAGTAATAAATCAACTATTTCCGTATGACCTGATAGCCAAATTTTGAATATTAGTATTTGAATTTAATTTTTTATACGTACCACGTCGACTAGCCCAAATTAATGGAGTTGTATCATTCTTATCGCATAGATTAGGTGATGCGCCAGCTTTAAGTAATAGTTCAACAATATTAATATGATTTCGTCCTGATGCCCAACTTAAACTTGAAATTCCATGTTCATCAACAGCATCAACATTTGCATCACAATTTAATAAATATTCAACAATTCTTGTATGTCCTTCATAAGATGCCCACATTAAAGGAGTAAATTGCCCCTTTTTAAGAAAAAAACAAAAGAATTTCAACATACTATTTTGTCTTAAATTATTGAAAACTTACACAATCGCAATGTTCAATTTTTGCATCATGTTCGATAAGAATACGAACAATATCGAAATTTCCATTTTGTGATGCATTTAATAATGCTGTCCAATTATCCTGAATAAAAAATAATTCATTGAAGTATTCTAATCAAATTAATTTATAATAATGCTGATCAAATGCAATACTGATTTACATTATCAATCTTTTTATAAGAAATAATTTATAACTGTTAAATAAAATTACATAAAAGTAACTATTCTTCAATGAAATATATAATATTTAGGAAATAATAAAAGTCGTGGTTTCTGTCGATAAAATCCCACAGTTCGATGAAGGACGATCATGAAGAGAAGTGAGACATGTTATTGTATTTAGAATTATTTGTTCTATCAAATAAAATCATTTTTAAATAAATGTCAGACAATTGGTTTTGAAGTTTTATATTATCTAAGTAGTCCTAGCTTAGCAATGTTGTTGGATTTTTTATGCCTAAAAATTCCGACAGAAAAATCTTTTCAACTACTCAAATATGTTTTTTTTTTCAGATTCTTTCTATGTACTACCATCAAGAAGAAAACTGAAAAAATAGAATCGTTCTAACCTTGCGCTCATTTTTATAGAATATTTCAGATTTTTGTATTTTTGAAAATAAACATACTGAAAATTTGCATTATTTATTCTTCCTATTTATTATAAAATACTATTTACAGTTTATTTCCTTTTCTTATAATAAACATGATAAATTTATAATTTATTCTTACCACATCTTCTGCATTCACATCAGCATGAGCTTCAAGAAGAACTTTTACACATTCAAGATGATTACATCGAGCTGATAAAATAAGTGCAGTTTGTTGATCCTATACAAAACAAACAGACAATTAAGTGAAAGTTTTTTTTTCTATCTACAACTTACTTCATCACGCGTTTCTAAATCAATTCCATTTTCAATATTTCTTTGAACAGCATCAACATCCCCATTTTCAGCATCGAGTAAAAATTGACGAAAAACATTCGCCATTTAGATCTATCTGAAACATTATTTTAAATATATTTTACTTTTTATGAATGTCACAAGTATCAAACAGTTTTATATGATACATGTACATAGAATGAAAAAAACAAAAAAACAACACATTTATTTTTAATTATTATATAATTGTTCTTGATCATGACGTGTTACAATACCAGCCATGTTTAAAATAGCTTCTTCTTCTTCATATGATCTCTTAACCTACAAAAAAAAAAATAGAAATAAAAAATAAGAATTAATTTTCTTTTTACTTTGCTAGATTTTTCAACTTGTCTGTTTTCCCATTGACGCATACTATTCTGTTCTTCAGCACTTTTTCTACCTCCAACACCCCATACATCAATAGCAACTAAACGACCTTCACCATTTAAATGTTTTACATTGAAAAAATCACCATCAATATTTAGAAATGTATGTGCAAGATCACGACCAATAAATAAGCCAGGTGCTGATAAACCACGTAATTTCGTATTCATAAAAATAATATTTGGACCCTCTAAAACGAAAGAAAAAAAAAATACAAACTAAAATCAGAAAAAATTTTGATTTCTACCAATAACAAGTTTAAATGTAGGTTTTAATTGAAATAAACATGCTTGAATACCACCATAATGTTTAGGTGATTCTCTATAATGAAGAAATAAAAATTGTTTAGAAAAAAAATTTTTTTTCTACTTGAATTCTTCATCACAACATAAACAAAATAAATAACCATTTGATATTTCAAATAAAATAATTATTGGTGCTTTATAACCAAAAATATGATGTTGAAATCTAAAGAATAATAACAATAGATAAATTATTGAAAACTTCTATTAAAATTTGTATACCTATTCAAACTTGATCCATCATGATGACTATTATATAAATGATCCCACATTTGATCATACTATTATTGAAAAAACAAAATTAAAAACACAAAACATAAAGAGAACTCACCAAGACTGAAGACATACGGTCTAATAAAGTTGTACAAGAATTATCTGCTGATAGATACAAATTAGGAATGTTATGAGTTAATAACCATACCAAAGTTGGATTAAGAATATTATTCATTTTCATTAATGAACGATTCTATATATGAAATAAAACTATATAGAATAATCATTTTTTTTAATAAAACAATATACCGATGCAGATGCAGATGCTTCTTGAGAAGTTTTATTACTTTTAGATAATGTCGAATGTTTACGAAGCCACATTTCAAATATATAGAACAATGTTGGAAATTGTATACGTATCCATTGATAAAATTTTTCTTGTTCAATATCAGATGTTGTATTATTTGTTTCAATACTGTTTGTCAATGCTGAAAAACATTGATCATCAAGTATAATAGTTTGAAATATTGTCATATCTTCGGTTAAAGCTTGTTTTAAATCAAATATACAACAGTCATGAAATAGCTTAGTTATCTCTAAACTCATCAAAAAAAAACGAAATATTTCATTGTCTCTTATGAAATGAATATTTTTACCATGTCGAGGAATACTCATACGATCATTCCAAATAAGTTTGACTAAAAGAATTGAAAAATCTTCTGATTTTGTTGAAGATAAAACAGTTTCGATGATTCGATAATGTGATGATATATCAGTTCCTTGTCGAAATATACAGAGAGGAAACTGATCATCAGTACATAACTAAAATATATTAGAAGTAATTAGTAATCGAAAATACTACGTTAGTTTTTTTTTTTTTCTATTTTATTACAAGTGATAATAGACGAAGAATTTTTTCATATATTTCAGTGTTTTGTTTAGAATTATCTTCTGTCTTTTTCGAAGACGATGTCGTACGTGATTGTGATGTATTGCCCATTATTATATAGTAAAGTATCGATAAATTTACAGAGAAAAATAAATGAAAAGAAAAGGATTAATAAAAGTTTCAAGAGAATTTAAATCTCTAACAAGCTTATTTGACATTCAATAAATTGAAGAGAATAGAAGCTCATGTTTCAAGGACTTGAGTATATGTTGGCTATTTACATTGTACTAACCCTAAATATAGATGTAATAGATGGCACAAGTCGTCAATGACGTTAGAAGCAAAATACATAGTGTGTCTAGTAACTTCTTTTTGATCGTCTAACAAGACATAGAAAAAAAAAATATTTTCAACTATGTCTCATGTTTTGTATTCAGCTCGACACATAAAATAGAAAATAGAATCTTTTTTTTTCTTCCATTATGTTCTGCAAACATAGTTGTACTATTGCATGTGGAGATCTTCTTTTTAGTTGATATCTTGACTTGTTATTTTGTTTCATTAAAATATGTTACCTAATAGATGATCAATTTTGATATGCATAGTATATTATAACATGTGTCTTAATAATAAAATTTTAAAATAGGGACATGCATTGAGTAGGAATGAAAAAGCCTTATACAAATCAATTCAATTGTTGTATATGAAAAATAACACATTCATTTATTGGATATTGATTAATTCAAAAACAAAAAATTATGCTGCTTTAAGTTAAAACATTCTATATATTTATGTTTTAATATGCACTGATACACTAGGAAATAAATCAATTGTAATGAAGACATTCTCATAACCACATTATCATAAATTGAATTTTGTTACTGTTTCCTAAGGTATTTTTTTCAATTATTTATTATTACAGAAATATCTTGTTAGAAAACTACTTATATTTACTGATAGAGCTTGAAATTCTCTATCATTCTTTATATTCGTCAATTATATGGCATTCATTGTTCATGTTAGTAGCATTTATATATTATAATCAATACAATTTTTTTTTTATCAGATAATTAAGTCTATTTAATAACATACAAATAGAAAATACAAAGAAAAAGATAACATTGAAATATCAATTGGATTCTTTTCTGTTGAAACACATACACGGTTACTTTTATTGAGTATATCATGTACATCGAAATGGATTTTTGCTGTGGTTAGCTAAAATAATAGAATATTTTAGATTTTTTTTTTATTAATAATGTCATAAAAATACTTTACTTTTAGCTATTTTTGCTGAAGATGTTTCTGAATCACTAGATGATAAATCTTTTCTTTTGTTACTAATTATATTTTCATTTGTTTCTTGTATTTCAATAGTTGAAGTTGAAGAGCAATAATTTTGTCCTGCGTGAATATATTCTTGTCGAAATGATGCACTAATATGTCGAGCCATATCTAAAACAAATATTTTATATTGTATATTATTATATGAATTAACTGATTTCGAATTACCCATGAACAATTGATGATGATTTTTTGCCAGACTTTCAACTAATAACGTTTGTAATTTAATAAAAATTGTTTGATCTGTTTTATGAATTTTATGATCTTGTAACATATGTGTAAAACGTGGATAGACTCCATGTGGCATAGCTGCTTTCAACTATTATGAAATAAATTTATAAAAATAGAGTCATATGTAAAAAAAACATTAATATATTCAATTACTCGACATAATAATTCTCGATATTCTGAAGCTTTTGTAGTTGATAAAGATATTGTAGAATTATTGGTATTACTATTATCGGTGAGTGATGAAGTCTCTTCAAACTAAAATGAAATCAAGGTGCTAGTTTGTAAAACTAAAATAAATATTTTTTTTTATACCGTTCCCATCATTGGTAGAAGTTTCTTAGATAAAGAATCAGTACGTGCAGCTTCACGTCGTTTCAGTTCGAGCATAGCATCAAAATCACGTTGTTTCTAGATGCAAAAAAATTTAAACAAAGTTGTTTTAGACCAAAAAAAAAACACTTACATCATCTGATTCACTATTTTGCAAAGACATTACATTTTTATTCTAAGAAAAAAAAATATGTAAAAAAAAAAGTGAAATGTTGATTATTGATTAAAAGATTTACTCGTTGTGTTGAAGATATAGCATCAAATAAAGATTTATGAACAACATTTGTTTCATTTCGAACATTATCTGATGATGATGTTTGTTCAGTAGGTTTTACAGAATATCCAACTTTAAGAAAGAAAAATGAATTTATTTTTATTTTGAAAAGTAGAACAATTAATCCTTAAAAACTGAATGTTGTTCCCGAAAAATATTGAAGAAATTTCTATTTATAGACTGAATAAAACTAGAGACAGGAGAATAAGAAGATGGTCATTTTTCTCTCTTTCAATCGTCAAAAATTCCTAATTATCCAAAAAATGTTGTTTCACCTTTGACAGAATTACTGATTTCACTCCAAATCCGATCATTGTGCCATAGTTATGGTTTTAATGCAGAAAAGTATTTAATAACGAATTCGTCAATGAGCTATGACCACTAGCGAAATCATAAGATTGATTTTACGATACTCGGTTGGACTCACAGAGTACTATGATAATTAAATGCAAAAGTGCATATGTGTTAAATGATTGCAAATATTTTATTCAATTCGTCCCTAATGTTTATATGAAATAAATAAATAGAATTATTAGTGAGAAAAATAGATTTTCTCATATAAATTTAGAAAAGTATGAAAGATCAGATAGTCCTTTCAACGAACTTTCTCTACAAGAAAAGCTTATCTTTTTTAACCATAATATGATCATACTTATTGTTCAGAACTCCTATTTTTCTTATCATCAATGAATAAAACTGTTCTTGACTTTTAAGGATTAACACAAGTGTAAGAGGATCTACCAGATTGTTTCAATGTTGTTTGAAGAATATCTTCAGATGATACTGTATGAGTTACAGATTTTGGTGTGATACTTGTCATCATTGTAGTTGAATGTGTAACAGATGCGAAAAAAGCTTGCTGAATAGGATGAGTTATTTGTTGAGCAGTTGAATTTGATGAATACTAATATGAAACACATTAGACAATATGAAACAAAAACAAATAAAACAACTTGAGCAAAAAACTCTTTGAGTCCTTTCATCATTCCAGTAAAATCGACTGTATGTACATATGGACAAAGCCATTTTGATAATTTATCTGTATTATCTCCAAATCTAATCGAATAAAAAAAAAACAAGATGATTCATTCTAATATTCATATTCTTGTCTTACCGTTGATCAAAAAAAAGTACTGCACCATAATCACGTCTATGTCGTATAACACGACCAACACATTGATTAATAGCTCGAAAAGCTTGTTGATTATACCAAACATCACCTAATTTTATTTCTTTCTTTAAAAAACAAAAGAAAAATAAATTAGTTTTCTTAACATAGATTAAAATATTTATAAACAAAACATACATTATTTCCACGATTCATCTCATCAAGATAATGTCTTTTAGCAATAACACGTCTATCTTGATGAGGTGCAAATGGTATACCAATAATAATCACTGCTCGACAAGATTTATCACTAAAATCAATGCCTTCACTTAGTTTTCCACGAGCAACAGCAAATAACATAGCACCACGTTGATCATTTTCAATAATTGTATTAAATTCTTTCATTTGACTTTCAAATCTAGTTTTATTTCGTTGTTCAATAATTACTCGTTTACGTTGATTCATTATTTCATATGTAGCATTATTCTATTTTTTTTTTCAAAGTTCATTATCAAATTTATATTCGTATTAAATAAAACAAACCTTCCATGTTGCAACAACTTCATCAATCATTTTATAACAAGGAAAAAAGACAAGAACACCACCTGGAATATTTTTTATTACATTATGTAATGTTTGACCTAAATAATTATTCGTTTGTCTAATTGAATAAGTTCTCATTTGTTTTTTTTTACCTAGTGCTTCTTGATATTCTGGATTTTGTCTATGTAGAACAATGGCTTTTTGTTTTTGGTTGAAAAAAATAAATAAATAAAGCTTTTTTGATTTACCTTGTTCTATAGACAGATGTTAGTATATGTTTATTACCAGCTGCTCGTGGTAAAATAGCAGCAAATAATTGATTTTTTTCAATAATATGATCATTTTGTATAATAATATCAAATGGACTGAAATTTATCAAAAGTAAAAATTCTATTTAGATTCAATTAAAAGAAGAAAAAAAATAACTATCAGCCGATCTTACATTGCTAATTGTGTTTTAAATGAATCAATTGGTGAAAGTGTACCACTTGTTAAGAGAATAGATCGAGTATTTTGCATACATAATTGTCGCATAGCAAAACCTGGTGATAAACACCAATAATGAAGTTTTTTAGGTCCTAAGAAATCGAAGAAAACAAAAGATAATCATATTAAATAATTTATATAAAATTTAAACTTACGTTTAGAAATAATAATCGAAGGTCTTTGTTGTTCATTATTATTATTCTCTTCTTCGATATATACCTAAGTAAATAATTATCATTATCAATATGAATTTTAATAATGTAAAGATCACATACTTTAAAAACAGATTTTCGTTGAGCATCCATATCAAATGTAAAACATGGTTGACCATTTTCGTCCAATGGATGAACAGTCTATTGCAAACGAAACATATTTGATAAAAGAAAACGAAACTTGAAAAAAGATATATATTACTTCAATGAATTCAGCTAATTTAAGAAGCGAATGTCCATTTGAACGAAAAATTGATCCCGCTAATGAGAAATGAAAAATACAGATTATACCATAGTAAAATGTCGAAAAAATTGACATTTCTAGTAAACGATGACTCTAAACAAGTGTAGATTTTTTTTTTCTGAGTGTGAAAATGAACATGAAACCAGTAAGCAAATATTTTTCTTGTATATTTAGCCTTAATAGAGTTATCTACAGTAAACTTAAAAAGAATTATACTCACATCTAGCAGCTATAAATTGATTAATATCTTGAAGTTGTTGTATATCTCCTTGTGCAGTAAAATCTATTTCAGCACTTTTAAGCCATTTAAAAGCAACACTAAAATAATAAACAAAAAACAAAAAAAAACATGATTTTTATTCTTTTTCTTTGATAAAACATACTCGCCAGGTGATGGAATATTTCCTTTGGTCGTCTTCATTTCATCCAATAGTTCTTCTAATTTCATAATTTTTACTTTAATAAAATAGAATCATAATTTATTTTATCTTACGTTTAAAAAAAAAAGAATACTTATTTTACATTTTAAACTACTGATTTGATCTTGTGTAATGGTTAAAGCTAAAATAATATTTCAAGACAAATATTTTCAATCATAAATAAACTATTTACCATTTGCATCAATATTATTTTCTTCATTATCATCAGTTGATACTGTAGATAAGTATTCTGATGATTGTGACTTAATCATCCATTGCATAACTTTGGTAATATCATCAAGACAAGAAGCAAGATCAAGTGAACTAATCATTACTGAAGCTGCATCTTCACATTGTTGTTCAATATTATGAGCTTCATCAAAAATAACTACAGATTTACGTACATTAATCTTATGAATACGACGAGCCTTTGAAAAGAAATAATAGTTAGATTTTTATTATTAAATTCATTATTAATATACTTTAGCATCAAGTAAATAATTATATGGCATAAATATAATATCAGCTTTTTCTTTAAGTTCTCTTGCTGCAAAATAAGGACAAAATCTTTGAATAAAATTAAGATATTATTATGAAAATTTGAATATAAATCTTTCTTATACTTTCTTTGTGTTCCTGCTTTAACTAAATCTTCAATGTCCATTGGTGGTAATTTAACAATATCAAGTTTAGAAACTATAATTTAATAAAATTATTCTATGAATTATACTAGTTTTTGATTTTTAAATACTATACTTTCAAAATTTCGATGAAATAAACATGTTTTTCGATGAACTTTTTCGCGACAAACTGATATTTTATCAGAACTATTTTCAAGATTTTTTACTTCTGGATGAATACATAATTGATCACGAGAACCCAAAACAGTTATTTTCATACGACTAAGATATACAAAGACAAAATTAAAAATGAATAACATTAACAAAATTCTAATTTTCGAACTTGTAATCGGTCGATTTAAATTCTTTAACAACTTGTGCTAATTGAGAATGTGTACGAGAAGCATAAATAATTTGAACTGGTGCTTCTAAACATCAGAATTTCAATGTATCAGTAGATTTTTTTTAGGGAAAATTTTACCATTTGAATCTGAATTATGTATTTTATATTGTTCAAGCCAAGCAAGAGAAGCACATAATAGAGAAAGAGTCTTGCCAGTACCTTTTAATTACAAATAAATTTAATGAACAACGATAGAAACAAAAAATATTTCCACCTGTTGGACTTTCAAGAATACCATTTTGACCCTTCAAATAAACAAGATTTAACTTAATTTCATATTTGCAATACAAAGGAAAAAAAAAACAAGCTATCTGACTTTAATCAAACATTCAACTACAGCTTTCATATAATCAAGTTGACATTGATAAGCTTCAAAAGGAAATAAAACAGTTAATCCATCAATTAAATATGAATGCATTATAAAAATCTAAACAATATTCTAAATATTATAAGTTTCTTTTTTCATTAAATCACAAAGGAAAAACAATGGTAGAAACTAATGAATCATCATTGCAAATGTCAAAAAGATAGATCTCTTGTTTAGCGAATGAATCATGCGTCACGATTTGAAATGATTGGTTTACATAATCAATTGTCATTCACAAATAAAATTTCCAATAGAACTAGCACTACTTTTTTTTTGATTCAATCCACCCTAAAAAATGAATGAAAAAGTAGTATTAAAATGAACGAGTAAGCTGTTGACTGTGATATCTTTTTTTTTGCTATCAAAATTGAATGAATTGAAATCGTATGCACGATTTACTATTTGCAGATTTACTTTTTCGTTGATTCTTTAGAACGAGAGAAATGAGTAATATGAGCATAGATGTCATTGAAGCAAAGACTCACATTCATACTACTCATTTCTTTTCTTCCAGATGATCAACCGACCGCAAATCTTCACACAAGAAAAACTCTAATTGGAATATACTTTTTTATGTAACTAACGGATAGTAAATCGTGTAAATCAAATAAAATTCATCAATTTATGCTTGTTATCTTTTTTTTGTAAATATGAAACAAAAAAATACAAAAACAATATGTCCATTGGTTCTCATAAGACAGTTTACAATAAGTCTATCATTGATAAAGAAAACGCACAATAAAAAAACGAATAGTCTTCATTTAATTAAATTATTTCTATTTTTGAGATGGTGATAATTCAGCAACAGATTCAGCAACAAGATTTAGTAAAACATCAACTTTAAGTTTTAACATATTATTTTCTTCTTTTAATACTTCAACTTGTTTTCGAATCTTTTGTGCAGAACCACTCGATGCTGTTCCACCAACACTTTCCGCACCAGCTAAACAGAGCAGAAATAAAAAGTTTATTGAATATAAACAAAACAAACAACACATCATCATCATCATCATACCTGTATTCCAATCACCATTTTCAGTGTCAAAAATAATTTTTTTATCTGCAATCTTAACATCAATTATTTCATATTTTGGACCCAATTCACGAAACATTTCATCAGCAGGTAATTTAAGTGGACTTCTTGAAACATGTTTTCGTGGCTTAGTTTTTTTGATTGCAAATGAATTTGAAAAAAAAGACATGATCTTAAAGAATCAATTTTCATACAAATAAAAAATTCTCAATAAAATTCATCGGCCATTAATTAAGTCGTTGTCACCATGTGATTTCTATAGAAACGTATATCTAGCAAATGACATAAAGCGACAACGTTATGTTCTACTTGTTAATTTCATAAACCAATAGAAAGAATCTTTTGAAAATTTTCTTTTCTTTTTTTGACAAATAAATAATTTAAGTCTTATCATCAATTCATTATTCATTTTAACTATGGCTTGTTGTGTAGCAGTTTTAATAAAAGAGGTAATTGAAATAAAATACTATCATACTGTAATCCGTTTTTCTTATTCATATAGAATTTAATATATCTTCGTCGATCAGCAGAAGAACTTAAATTTCTTTTTCTTATTCATGCTTCAATTGATATACTTGATGATAAAGTCAATCAATTAACTAAACCTGTAAGTGATCGAGATTCACGAGATTTTTATCTTGGTCTTCTCTATCCAGTCGAAGAATATAAAATGTAAATAGTTAAAAACAAACATAGTTATGAAACAATTAAATTTTATATTAAATATATTTCAGTTATGGATATGTTTCATCAACACGTGTTAAATTTATATTAATTTTTGAACATTCTACTTCAATATCACTTAAAGATCAAGATATAAAGTTACTTTTTCAACGTTTACATCAAGCATATATTGATTGTGTATCAAATCCATTTTATGAACCGAATACACAATTGAAATCAAAACGTTTCGAACAAGTTGTTACAAGTTTAATGGTTCCAACTGATTCAATAACAACTACAGCAGCATTACCACAGCAATCATCACCATCATCAGTACCAGCAACATCGATGTCAATTTCAACAGTGACATAACATTTTTGTTTTTTTTTAATATTTATTTACTTAGTCTGTTGAAAATTGATTAACATAAAGCTCAACAATATTTTCAAGTGCTTTAGGAATGAGAGTTTCAAATTTTGTTACACGTTGATCTAGACTATCTAAATGTTTTTTCATTATTGATGCTTGTTCGATGTCAACTGTATTTACAAGAATCATTTCTCGTGCATTCATAGCTGTTTTTTGCCAATCTTGTGCTAATTTTTCATATTGATTATTAAAAATTTTAAATTCATCGTAAAGTATCTTAAGCGTTTTACTTTCTTCCATTTGAAATAGAAATAAATCATCATCCTCATCCTCATCATCATTATTGTTAAGTAATAAACGTTGTAAAAATTTCTCAATAACATTTTGATTATAACCATCATTGAGAAGAACTTTTTGTAGTTTTTCTACAATCATAGTTTGTTTTTCGTCTAATGATATTTCATCATCTTCATAATCAGTTCGTATTTCAGTATTATCATTAAGATCAATAGATTTATTGAAAAAAAAGTTAAGAAAACGATTGATTTGTTGAATAAATGCAGCTTGAAGTACTGGTCGTCTCGAACGACGAAAAGCATTTAATCCTTCATTATTTGATCCATGAATATATTCTTCTTGAAGATCATCTTCAATTTGCTTTTGTTCTTGTTTACCCAAAACATAAGCTTCGTTTACAACTGCAACTAATAAATTGAGTAAAACAAAAAATACAACACATACATATACCATATAAAAAATCTAGACAAAAAAAAAAATAACTATTAGACATTATTTATACTTGTATAAAAAGACTCTTACTGGAGTCCAAGTAGGTGAAACACGATAGGCACGATCATATTCAAATTGACCGAGTGTACATTGAATAAGTGTGTAAGATGTTAAAGCAAAAGTATGAAACTAGAAATGAATAAAACTTTTTGAGTAAGTCCATTCTTCATTATTCAATGATTTATTTCAAGTGTCTGCTGGATTCATATCATCGAAATTTATTAATGGTTTCTAGAATTATAGCTGATTTTTCATGATATTGAATGGAAAAGAACTATCTGCTAGCCTTTGAAGACTATAGCCTATTAATCGTCTGGGAACTCAAGCTGAAACTTGTACATAGCGTTTGTCTGTGATTGAGCATTATTACGTACAAGTTTCATCACAGAATCTTTTACTTAATGAAAACCCCATCCGAAAAAATCATCGCGTTAATATAAAGGACTAAGAAATATGTAGAGACAAGAGTCCTTGATTAAATTATCCGTTTTGTTTGACTAAAAAAAACAAAGAACATAGACTGGGCTCAATATGCGTGCTAAAATATCAAGAACTAGTCATGTATTTGATAACAGATAAAATTTAGTAAACATTTTTTTTATGTTAACAGCTTGAAGCAAAACTAAGCGGCGCCAATCATTACAATTCATGTTGTAGTTAAATGATTGGGACCACCTCAGATTTCTGAGCTAAAATCTTAGTGCTGTATGTACATACAAGTTTTCAAATTATCTCCAACATGTATAGTAGCCAAGATATAAGGAGTAGAAGACTTTTGTCTACTACTGTATTTTTCAGCAAAAAAAGGAATGAATGAAAAATTTCTTCGTATCTTATCATTAGTTAAACTGAAACCTACTTCATATAATTCATCGCCGTAATGAAATGTTGCAAAAATCACAAATGACATGAATATAACAAAAAATAGAAAAAGAAAACCAAGTGAATTTCTAATTGATTTATAGAAGACATCGAGTAGATTTGCTATTAAATTTGAGAAATGAGGCAAATAACGAAGTAGACGAATAAGAACAGCTGCTGCTATATATGCTTGCAAATCGATACGACTAATTTGTGTTTCAATAAAATAAATCAATTCTTTGAAAATGTCATTTTTCGGAATTGACAAACATTTTAAAGTTTGTGAAATATACATGAGAAATTTAATATCAAAATAGAATGAAACAGTAAATAGAATAAGTAGACCAAGATCATAAAGATTCCAAATAGATGACATAATAAACCATAGACGATGTTCAGCTATTTTACCAACATAATAAAAAGCAAATATAATACAGAATAGATTAAATAATATTTGAAATACGCCTAATAGTTTATTTCGACCAAAGAAAAAACTATTGACTGGAACGGTGTAGAAAAAATCACGTACTTGAACTGTACCTAAAGAAAATTCAAATTTATCTTTTGTTTTTTTTTTTGTTTCGCTCGTTTTAATGAATCTTTTTTTACCAGTTGTGAGAAATTCAAAAAGAATATTAATTGATGTAAGTAGTTCAATATTTGGATTGAAATAGATTAATTCAATAAAAATTGCTCGTGTAGTTAAATCCAACCAAGCACTATTTTTCAATGTTACAATTGCTTTATCATTTAAATCTTTCGTTGGACGAAAATAATAAATAAAACCACCAGTATCATAAGGTCCATAGGCATTCGATAATTGTAATGCAGCTGTTATTTTTGATGATGTATATTCATATTGTGAGCCTGTAACTGAAGTGAATTTATCTCGATATTCTTTAGATTTATGATAAAATGCATAACAATTAATTGGTCGCACGCTCAAATCTTTAATGATCTGACAATGACTATCATTAACACGAATTTGACGTAGACGAGGAACACCAAGAACAAAATTTTCATTTGATAACAATATTTGATGACTAATCTGTTCTTTGGAATTATTTGTTGATTCTCTCCATTGAACGACATTACCTAAATAGATAATAAATGATAAAATTTAAGAAAAAAAAATAATTTAAACTGTAAAGTTCTTCATTGAATCGATCTAAATACTGCCAAAACTCATGATTGTTTGTGACTGCGTCAAGTTGTAGTTTATTAACTAATAATCGTCGAATACATCTGTCGGCATTAAAAGCATCTTGAGAAATATGACTTATAATACTTATAGTTGTAACAATTAACAAAAATACTAAAATGATATAAATGAAAA